GAGCGCAGACGGTCGCGGTGGGAAAACCCGGATCCAGAGAAACCCGGGCAGGACGACCCTGGCACGGGGACAGTGGCCGCGGCCCGTCACTCTCAAGTACCTTTCGGATGAGTCACTTGCTCTCCGTGGCCGCCCACAGCTCAGGCGCTGCAGACAGGAAACCGAGGCACCTCGTCGCAGAGGCAGCCCAGCAGGAGCTGGGACTGATGAACGTGGAGCCGCTCGCACCTGCCCAGAAACACCCAAGTGCTTCCAGCAGCCGCCTCGCGAGTCTCATCTAACCTTCTCAGCAAGCCTGCAAGGAACTGCCATCGGACTTACATACGGGAACGGAAGCACAGGGAGCTTCACAATCTGCCCTTGGATGCACAGCTCAGCAGACGCAGAACAAAATTTCTGAACTCAGACTCCAAACCACAGACAGAAGAGAAGGAGGGAGATTGCAGGCAGGACCCCCGCAGGCTCCTTGGAGGATGTCTCCCCAGAGGCCGGGTGGAGGACGGGCACTGGTCGGGAGAACAGGGACCAGGGCACAAGGCCGCAGAAGAGACCCCCACGTCCTGCCCCTCAGCTGGACACGACGACGCGGGCCTGCAGGAGGCGGTGGGCCTCCCAGCGTCGGGGACAGAGGGAAAGTCCAGAGAGGACCTCGGGCCAGACAACAGCACGCACTCCACAAAGCAGTTCAGAGACACCCGGTGGGACAGGCAGGGCACAGGAAGTGACCTCCTCAGGTGCCCCAGCCTGTCCCCAGCACCCCACCCTCCATCCCCCAGGCAGCCAGCTCAGGTCCCCAGGCAGGTCCCAACACCTCCCTAGGATTCCCACGCCCTGGGGAAGAAGACCCAGAGTGGCCCCAGGGCCTGTGCAACCGCCCATGACAGAGCCACTCCCTCCCTGTCCCCCCCAGGAAGGTCCCTGCCCTTCACCCAGGCACATCCTGCCCAGGGCAGCTCTCGGCTGGCCCTTCCGCCCAGAGGACGCTTCCTGGCCACTCGGAGCCCTGGCCTGGAGGGGTCCGGCCCCACAGCAGGCTCGGGCTGTCCTTTACTGCACTTCCAGGACCCAGGACAGCACCTGGCACGGAACAGCTGCTCCATAGACGGCAGGAGCCACTAAAGGACGTCCCAGGACCCAGCGCTGAGAACCTGCGCTCAGACAGGGGACACCCGTGAGGTCCCAGCGCACCACCATCCCACGAGACCATGGCGTCCACGTGGCCGTCACAACCTGACATCGCCATTGGCCCGGAGGCTGGCTGCTGAGAGGCCCAGGTGCCGCAGCTCTCCCAGGAGCGGACAGGGGGACAGAGGTCAGCAAGCACATCCCCCCTCGTGGCTCAGCCCGGCCGGCCCCCCTCCGCCTGTCCCTCCCCTGCACAAGGTCCCTCGTGTCCCCCGCAGTCCTACAGAACACCGGGACGTGTGCACACCGAGAACTGAGGCCGTCCCTTCCCACTGTACCCCAAGGGTGCCGACCCAGTCTAGGCCACATCCTGCGGCCAGGGGGACCGAGGACAGCCAACGTCAGCCCAGAACCAGGCACAGGAGATGTGGACACACCAGGGACTGGGCAGGGACCAGCCTCCCAGCGCAAGCCCAGCACAAGCTGCCCCGCCTGGTGTGCCCTGCGCGGCCCTGCTGACGAGCGGCCACCCAGGCTGGCTGGCCTCAGGCACGTCCACACGGCAGTCCAGTTCCTGACGTGGAAGCAGCCGGCAACCCTGGGTGGCATTTCCACACTCGCTCTGTGAGCCGCCGGGGCCTCTCCTGGGCGCCAGGCACCGCTCCAGGCGCTGGGGAGGAAGCTGCCCGACCTCCCTCCGGAACCAACACCACAGGACAGACAAGAACACCCACCCAGGCACCGAGGGTCCCAGGACAGAAGCCAAGTGGAGCAGGCGAGGTGCCGAGCACTCGTCTGCAGCTCAGTGGACAAGGAAGGCGTCCCTGAGGAGGGGACATCTGAGCAGCAGAGGCCTGAGGAAGACTAGGAAGCTGGGAAACAGCAAGTGCAAAGGGCCTGGGGCAGGCAGCTGCTGCTGTGCTCAGAGAACTTGCAGGAGGCAGGTGTGGGTGAGAAGAGCAAGGGAGGGTGGGGCGGACACCGCCAAGAGGAGCCAGGATGATGCCGCAGGGCCTTGCGGGTGGGACAGTGGGGAAACTCAATTTTAGCAGGAGAGGCCGTCAATCCCCCAAGGGGAGAAGCTGACGGGCAGGAGGAAGAGCCTGGGCACGGGCAGAGGTGCAGGCTGCAGTCAGCAGCACTGAGACCGAGTCACCCACGTTGCGCGTGCAGACGTCCCCGCTCCTACAGCCAGGAAGCACAAGGACCCCAACCTCCATCATCCGGTGAATGGACCGACAGCCTGGCGGCGATTCAGCCGTGGGTGGACAGGGCGTGCGCCCACGTCACGGCACGACGGGCCTTGACCATGCCGTACAGGTTCAGGCAGCCAGCCGCGGGGGACGGATGGCGCGGAGCCACCCAGAAGCACCCAGACAGCTCCCTTCACAGCGGAGCAGGAGGAGGTCACTGTCCACCGAGAAGGGGGGACGGGGAGCGGCCGCCCACAGGCCTGGGGTTTTCTGGGGTGATGGGAATGTTCTAAGCTCCTTCTGGGGACGGTGACACAACCCTGAGTGGGAAGACAGAGCCACCCAGGAGGGAGTCTAGGGAGGGCAAGAGGAGCACGGAGCCGGCACCCGGGGCTGAGGTCGGGGAGGCCAGGAGCCAGCGGGGGGCACGGCACGGGGGGCACAGCGGGGGCAGAGGCAGCAGCGCCCCCTCACAGGCCGAGCCCGTGGCCACCCACTCGCTCCCGCTACACCAGGCCCAGCACTGGAGGCCGCGAGCAGGGCGCCCTGTCCTGTCTGTGACGGTGACTCCGGGGCTGTGCCTGCCACCCGGGCACAGCAGGAGGCCAGCAAGAGCCGGTGCCTTTGGGGAACGAGGGGCTTGGTGCCGGCCAGTGCCCAGGGCCATCTGTGCACCAGAGGTGTCACCAGGCCTGAGTCACTTCCTGGAAACGCTGATGGGAACCCTCGGGGCCTGGGAATGCGGGCGCCTCCTGGGCTGGCTGAGGGGCCTCCGGAGAAGGTCCCGCTGTTCTCAGCGACGCCCAGGCACTGCAGGGCTGCTCCCGAGGAGGCCGCCTCGCTCCTCTCCCTCCCCACCGGCCCCTCGGCCCTGCGTCCACACCACCCGGGCTCCAGGGCCCACAGGACGGCTGCAGTGTGGTGCCTGGGAGGGGACAGGCGGTCAGCTCAGCTACTCAGGCTCCTGGGACATGTGACAGCGAGGAGAGGCGGTCTGCTGACGCACACCTCCCGCTGCAAGTGCCAGGGACCAGGACACTGCGCAGTTCTGAGAGGCGGGGGGCGTGGCGTGTCCCCACAGGGGACTGTCCTGCTGCCCTGCTGGCTGGTCCCCCAGCAGCCTGTCCCCACCCCTAAACAGCTGGAGGCGAAGGGCCAGCAGGAACCAAACAGTGAACACCCCTCGGTGGCCCTGGGTGGCAGCTGTGGCCACAGGTCATCCCTTCCAGGTTTTGATCCCAAGAAAGCCGCAGACGAGCCACAGGGCCATGAAACACAGGCCACCTGTCCCCAGGCCCCGATAGGGAACTGAGCTCTGCACCCCGACCCCCAGGACCCTGGCCACCGACGGCCCCAACAGGCCTGCGCCTGGGGTGGGCGGGGTCTGAAGGAGCCCGTCCATGGCCTCCCCGGCTCCCGCCATGAGGCCGCGACAGCGGCTCGCTCTCTCCCACCCGCCTCATCCCCAAAACGGGGCTCACCGCAGGGTCCACCTCGCGGGCTGCGCCCACCTGGACCCATCACAACAACCTGGAAGCCCTGCTGACGAAACCCCACGAGACACTGGGGCACGGGCCACGGCGTGGCCTCTCCAGGTCACGGGCCACAGCAGGGCTGGAACCCACACCCAGACGCCCCTGCCTGCGAAGCCCGGCTCCGGCCCAGGGGCAGCCCCGTGTCTCTGTGAGGACCGGGTGTCGGCCACAGCTGGCTTCTGTTCTTTGTCCTGTTTATGACCCTTTAAAAACGTGACGCCACACTTCGCTCACGGCCAGCAACCCAGGCCCGGCGGCTGGCTCTGGGGGCCGCGGCTGCCCATCACGCCCAGCAGCATGGCCGCCTCAAGTTGGAAGAGACACCAAGCGGGTCTGGAGAAGCAGCTCTGCCGGCCGTCCTGGTCCCCGCGCCACCAACACCCAGGTGCCACCAGAGCTTCTGAGCCGCGGCAGGTCACTGCCTGCCAGGGCACGGAGCAGCGGCCAGAACCACCACACACCTCCCTCTCGTTCCCCCAGGGACGGTGAGCAGCCAAGCACCGGGCCAGAGGCGGCACCGGAGAGCCACACAGCACAGGCCTGGTCCCCAGCAGAGCTGAGGGCCACAGGGCCTTGGCCAGCTCCGAGGCCCGAGCCTGACTGACCTTCTCCAGCAGGGACAAGTTCAAGGTCTCGCTGGCTCCCTCCCCCTCGCATTCCAGCACACGGAGCCAGGGTCCCATGGGCACCAGGGTCCCAGAGGGGGCACCAGGATCCCAGGGGGGCACCAGGGTCCCACGGGCACCAGGGTCCCAGAGGGGGCACCAGCCCAGAACCTGCCAAGCAGGGAGCCCAGGAAGCGTAGTCAGACACAGGGACAGGGCCAGGACCATGGCAGCTGTGCAGGCTGAGACAGCAGACGGCGGCACGCTGTCCCTCAGCTCCCATCTGCCCCAGGGACTCCGACACCCAGAACCAAGCCTCTGATCTCCCAGGCCTGAGCCTGCCTGCAGGACCCAGGCTGGACCAGTTGCTGGGCAGGGCAGGACACGCAGGCCGTGGATGGTGGTCGGCTGCCAACCCGCCCTGTGCCTCCTCATCCCCTGCTTCCCGGGAACAGAGCTTGGTGAAGGGCCCTGTGCCCAGTCCTGGGCTGGGCGCCACCCCTCCTCCCTCTGGGAAGCGGTGGCTGGAAGGCGCGGCTCACCTTGAGCAGCAGCGGGTACTTGCAGATCCGCTGGATGGGAGACAGCAGGTAGCCCTCCAGGGGGATGTCCGTGGTCTTCCGGCCTCCCAGCAGCATACAGCTCTGCAAAGGAACAGAGACCCTCGGTGACTCACCAAGGGCAGCACAGGGCCCAGGTGCCCTCACGTCCCCAAGGAAACGCAAAGCAGCATCAAGGAAGCAATTTCATGACCCCAGGAGAGGTGAGGCCACACTGGGGTGCTGGACCATGGGCCCCGTCCTGCTGCCCCTGGCTGGAAGTCTCATAGAACACATCCACTGCCACCACCTCTGGCTGCTTCCAAACGTGGACGCAGAGGCCAGCGGCTGCAGAAGAGACCAAACAGTTGGGAGACCTGAGACGTCACTACCTGGCCCTCTGCAGAGAAGCCGGCTGAGTCCTGGTGAAGGGAGACTTCACCACACATGTACCAGGGGTCAGGGGACAGGGGACAGGGGCCCAGACCGGCCAAATGGCCTCCTTCTGAAGAGCAAGAACTGAGAGGCGCCCTGGCTGGCTCCCAGCTGGAGGGTAGGGACACTTGCCTCTCCGTGGACGTCGGGCCGCCGGGGTCACACGGCCCAGACGAGCACCCCACAGGGCCACGTGGTGACCCCAGAAGCGCACCCCACAGGGCCACGCGGGGAGCCCCAGAAGCACACCCTGGGCAGCAGAGGAAGAGCAGAGGTTGTGTGCGCCACGAGCCCCTCCCCACAGCTAGGGACGTGGGCACTGCTGGCCAGGGCGGGGCCTCCGGGGAGCCCAGCAGGCCCAGGGCTCCAGCCCTGCCCACTGACCACCCTGCACACTGAGACTTGCTCTTCCCGTGTCGCAGCTCGGAGCTCTGGAGTTTGGGAGGTTCAGCCTGTCGACCCAGGTCACCCCATCAGTCACCCCAGGACCAGCGAGCCACAGAGGTGGCACGGAGCAGGCAGCCGACGAGGACCCTGGGCTTGGAACCTCGATGCTGCTTCCCAGCCCCCACCTGGGCTCCCGGGCCAGGACCCCCTCCTCCTGGGTCCCCCTGTAGGCCACCATTCCACACAGCCATCGTCACCTTCTAGGGACTGTCCTCTCCTGGGGGGGAGGGGGCTCCAACCTAAGGCCATTTTTTGGGTGGTGGGAGCCTGAATTATTAACGTCTACAGTGGACGGTCTTGGGTCCCCAAGGCTCACGCCATGCACAGGGGACACAGTGGACAGGCTGCCAGCACTCCTCCCTGAGCGGCTCAGCCCTCCTCTTCCGCACCTCCCCACAGACTGGCAGAGGACAGATCCTGGGACGGGGTCCCCCATCACCCCTTCTCCTGTGCATTCATGGGTGCTGAGCGTGGGCACCGACCCAAGCGCAGGGGACTGCCCAGCAAACAAATGCCCGCGTACGGTCAAGGGAAAACAAGGCCAGAGAACGGCTGCCGTGTACCCACATGGCGGCCACCGTGCCTGGCTTCACGCACAGGGAGCCTAGGGACCAGCGGCACCGGGGAAGCCGTGGCACAGACACGGGGCCCAGGCACCCGCGCTGCCCCACCTCCCTGCAGCACCCGCGGTGTCTCCTCCTTGGAGGGGCGGCTCTGCCACCCAGGTCCCTGGTGGCTGAGCCGCTCTGCTCCCGCCACCGTGTCTGCTCTGGCACAGACGGGGACCTGGGCCGCGGCGGGAAGGTGCCAGGCCCACGCTGCCCACACTCAAGCCTTTGTCCTCTGAGCCAGCGCTGGCCACCAGCTGCCCTGGTGACGTCAGTTCCAGGCAGGGGGCAGGGAGCCCGGGCCAGGGCTCTTTCCAACAGACCAGGGCTGGCTGCAGAAGGCCGGTCTCCGTCCAGGACCAAGGCGTCCTCACAGGACCATCCGGCCACAGCTGCACGGCCCCCTTCATTCACAAGGGAGAGGAGCCTCGCACACACAGTGCCACCCGCCTCTCTCCCGGCCTGGGGAGGACTCTCCAGAATGACCTGGCTCCCCTGAGGTCCCAGAGAGGTCCAGGTGAGGGGCCACTTCGAGGCCACCCCGGCCCCTCCCTCCCCTCCACACACCACCCGACCCGGCCTCGAATGCCACTGCACACCGCACACTCGGACTGGCTTCGACTCCACCCTCTGGCCCTGGCCGCCTGCCCGACGCCCTGCCTGGACAGCTACTGGACAGCCACAGGACAGCCACAGCCCTTTTCTTTTTCTCTTTTTTGGCACTGGCATTGGACCCAGGGGCGCTTTGTCACTGGGCTACACCCCGGTCCCCTTTTGCACTTTGAGACAGGGTCTCGCTAAGTTGCTGAGGCTGGCCTCACACTCTCCCTCCTGCCTCCGCCTAAGTTGCTGGGGTCAGAGGCGTGGCCACCTCACCTGGCCTGTCACAGCACCTGAACCTGACCCACCCACAGTGGAGTGTGCCCGCCCCCCTCGGCAGGGCCGGCCCCGCCCCGCAGCCCACCTAGCCGCCTCCTCCAGGCCCCAGAGCCAGCACAGGCCTTCACGCTGTGGGGACCCAACTGCTGTCCCCACGGCCCTATTCTCAGGCTCCAGCAGCCCTCAGTGGTTTTGAGTGGTGATCCCCAAAATGCCGTGTCCCCCCAGAACCTTAGGATGGGGCCTGATTTGGAAAACAGGGTCTTGACAGATGTGATTACTATCACAGGTTCTGGGGCACCCTGAATCCATGACTCTGTCCTTACAGGGAGGAGGAGGGCACAGAGGAAAAGCCCCGTGCTGTCCCGCGGCCGCAGCTCATGGGTGGGAGCTGACGAAGCAGCCAGAGCACAAGCCGATTCGGGAGAGTCCTCAGGGGAAACCGACCTTGGCTGAGAGGGACAGCCAGGGTCGCCCTGGGGCCCAGGGGGCAGACTGAGAGGAGCCTGGGGAACCTCTGCTGAAGGAATGTCCTGACCGTGGGCTCCGCGGTGGCCCGTGGGGGCAGACAGGTGTGGCGTCCACCCCTGCAAGGACACTCACTGTGCTTGAAGCAGCTCAGTAAAAAGGTTTCTCGGGGCTGGGCTGGGGCTCAGGGACAGGGCACTTGTCTAACGTGTGTGAGGCCCTGGGTTCGATTCTCAACGCAGCATATAAATAAATGAATAAAATAAAGGCCCATCAGCATCTACGCGCGCACACACACACACACACACACAGAAAACGAAGTTTCAAAACTCTCAGGCTCTCCAAGGACCAAGTGGCCTGCCGTTGCTGGTTTTCCCTCTCTCTGTCTCCTCCGGCTCTTTGCTCCACTGCCCCTGGCCTTGCTGCTATTCCTCGAGCACACGCCCACCTCAGGGCCTTTGCACCTGCGGCTGGTCTACCTGGAATGCCAGCCTCCAGGTCACCCTGCCCCCTCACTTAACCCACATCTCTGCTTAAACATGAGCTGAGACAGTTTCTCCAAAGACCGACCTAAGACAGCAGCACATCCCAACTCCCTCAAGACACCCCACCCACCCTAGCCTGCTTCACGCCCTCCAGAGAACCTCGTACCCCGTGACCTATCACCTGCATCCCCCCGGTAGGTGGCCCTTGCCTGGCCCTGTTCACTGTGGCAGTCACAGGACTTAGAATGACCCCTGGCAGATCACAGGTGCCAGTAAGAAGCTGATGAACGAACAAACTGTCACCAGTCAGTGGACAAGAAAACTAATGCAGAGGACACTGACGTCCCTGCCTGCCACTCAGTGGGTGCCCGCACATCCCGAGCAGATTCTGTCGTCCCCGAGGCTTCGACACCCGACGACAGGCGCACGACAGCTCTTCTGCAGGTGGCCAAGAGCTGGAGACGGGCGAGGAAGAGACAGATGGCACAGCGCTGGCACCACGCGTCCTCCCCTGCCCGGCAGGCCCGGCCCAGCTGCCGTTGGAAAGAGCATCTGGCCCACCAGGAAGGGGACAGCAGGGACAGAGAGAGAGCAGGCACCAAGGGACAGCAGGGACCGAGGGGGGACTCCTTCCTGCCTCGCAGGCCCCGAGTGGCCAGGGGAATGCTCGGGGGCGGGAGGCTGAGCCGGGAGCTCCCGGGCTGGGCAGTGGGGCGAGGGCAAGGCGGTGCTGCCCGAGGTGGACAGGTGCGGCAGAAAGGTGGCCCTGCGTCCTGTGCTGCAGGGGGGACCAGCTCTGCAGTCAGCACTGAGTGTTTTATGAACCCAAGTGCAGACACGGGCTGTGGCGGGCACCAGGCAGGAGGGGGACACGTCAGCTCACGCAGGCCACGTGCCTGGGACAGAAGGAAACAGCCACCACCTGCCCCCCAGACGCTGTCCGGGCCCAGGCCAGGCCAGACCCCCTGGCCCCAGGGGCGAATGTTCTGAACCAGAATCCTGGAGACGCGCTGGGGAGACTGTGCCCGGGACTCTGTGATGACGTGGCCCGCTCCCTGGGGGCCCGGTGCGCAGCCCCCACAACGCTCCAGGTCTGAACTCGCTGCAGCTGATCAAAGCCAGCTTGCGGGCTGGGTGGGGCTCAGGGGCAGAGCGCTTGCCTGGCAGGTGTGAGGCCCGGGGTTCGATTCTCAGCACCAAAAAATATGAATGAGATAAAGGTCCATTGACAACTGAAAATAAAATAAAATGAACGGCACAGGAGGGCATCACTGAAGGGAGAGAGGACTGAGAGGCGAAAGACCTGGACTGGACCTCTGATGAGCTAAGTCACCTTTCAAGTATGAACTTTAGAAAGTCACTTAGTATTGTGGGATCAGAGAAGTCCCCATGAAGACAACGCAGAGAAGAGTGGAGTCTGTGTCTTGACCACATCCTGGCGAGGAGATCTGAGCACCTGGGCTCAGCTGTGCCTGAAGCCCCTCAGGTCTTGACCTCCTTAGAAAACCGCACAGGTGAACTCGTTATTTTTCTTGTTACTTTGCTTAGCCAATTTTACTTAGATTTTCTTTCAATTATAAGCAAATAACCCTAATGATACCCATGATACTACTAATATTATTCTACGATGTCATTACCATTATTAACTATGACTGCCGCCATTTTTATTGGGAACTGGCAGAGCTGACCGCCTGCGGCCTGATTTTGCAAATGAGGTTTTATTGGAACAGCGTCAGGCTCATCCCCTTCCGTGTTGTTTATGGCACCTCAGTATTTATGGCCACTGAGCATGAGCCGAGTCTTGACGGGACCTCTGGGATGGACAAGGCCTCCCACTGGCCATGAGAAGAGCCTCCCATGCCCACCCCACCCAGGAGCCCCCCTGGGACTGGGGACGGCGCCGGGGACAGCGCGGGGCACACTCACCAGGAGGAAGGCGCGGGCGGCGGGGGCCTTGTTGAGCTCCACCAGCAGCCGCAGGGCCTTCTCGTGGTTGCTGCAGTACTCCTCGTAGACGCAGAACTTGTCCTTCTGCAAGGCAAGGACACGGCCTGAGGGCGCAGGCCAGGAGGGAGGCGCCGGGTGTGCCGCGCTGGCCAGGAGCCTACAGGTCAGCACTGCGGGGACGAGAGCCACGCGGGACCCCGGGGGATGCGGCTCCCGCCGGCCTCAGTCCTGCACCCAGCAGTCCCTCGGGAAGGCTCAGCCCCGGGGTCGGGAACAGACAGAGCGCGGGCCTGGCCCCGGGGGTGAACTCGGGCAGGCCCCCTGGCCCCGCGCCTCAGTCTCCCCAACAGCAAGGGGCACTGACCAGGGCAGGGAGGCATCATCTGGGGGAGCTCGGTGATCTCCAGACGCCCCTGGGCCCCCCTGTATTCTGTGCAGCACAGAGGTCCCCTGGTCACCAGGTCGGTGCCCGTGCGTCTGGTTTCCAGAACTGGGAGGGGCACCCAGGATGCGTCTGTGCGGGTGCCGTGCAGGGCGCCGCGTGTCGGTTCCGAAGCCCACCCTCCTGCTTGGTGTCCTGGTGCCCGGTCCTCCCCTGGAGGAGGCCTGGGGCCCGTCTGGAACCTGGACGGGCTGCAGACGCCTCCCCCTCCCTGAGCGTCTTGGGGTCTCTGGCCCACCCCAGCCCCGGGCTCTGCCACCGTCCTCCCAGTGGCCTCAGGACATGCTCTTGGGGGCCTGGCGGGTCCCAGAGCCTCTGGGACTGGCGGCTCAGTGGAGGGCTTCCTGCTTACGGAGGCACCCCAGGCTCTCAGGACGGCCATGCTGCTCTCCCTCCCTCCACACAGCCCCGCGTGGACCCGGGGACACAGGGGAAAGCCAAGGGCAGGCCTCTGGCCCCGGGGTCCCCAAGCTCCGGACACAGCAGAACCAGGACGCAGCGGCCCTGAGCCCCGTGCCAGCTCCAGCCCCCAGCGTGGGGCAGGGCCGAGAGCCGAGGCCAACACCCAGGTACGTGCAGGCCACAGACCCAGACTGGGCACTGCGGCAGGACGCTGTGAAGCCCCCGCACACCCCCTAGGCAGAGCAGCTCCCCCTCCGCGGCACGGTGTCCCATAAGAGGACACAGCAGAGCCCGGCCCTCGGCCGCTGCACGACTGGACAACACACGTAGAACGAGCAGGGGGTCCCGGCCACAGGGAGCGCCTCTGAACACTCCACAAGCACAGCCACAACCAGGGCCAATGGACAAACAGGTCGTCAGTGAGACACCACACGGTCAACGTCACCGTCAGGCACAGGCACAGACACGGGCACGCAGCGCACACCCAGGGACCGTCGATGACCTGAGGCCAAAGGCTCCGTCACACCCTCACGGCGGTGCAGAGACCCACCGAGCCACAGAGCCACCGCCTCGCCCGGCCTGCGCAGCCCCAAGCCCTGCAATACCACGGGCAGGAAGAGGGCCGGCCCCCGCAGTGCCCAGGCTGACCGACCCTGTGTCCACTGGCCTCAAATGAGCCCCAAGGCAGGAGAATCCCGAGTTGGAGGTCAGCCTTGGCAACTCGGCAAGACTCTCAAAAAAGCAAAACATGGGCCGGGGGCGGTGGCCTGCGCCTGTCATCCCAGCAGCTCAGGAGGCTGGGGCAGGAGGATCGCGAGTTCCAAGCCAGCCTCAGCGATTTAGCGAGGCCCTGAGCAACTCAGTGAGACCCTGACTCTAATAAAACACAAAACAGGGCTGGGGACGTGGCTCAGTGGCCGAGTGCCACCGATTTCAATCCCTGGTACCAAAAAAAAAGTAAAAAGGGCTGGGATGCATCATCCTGCGTGTCACCGTCACCAGTGTTACTTCAGGAAATTCATCATCCCCCAGTGAACCGATGTGGGGCAGGGCAGTGGGCGGGCAGTGGGCGGGCAGACTCTGATGGCTAACTCGGCACTCTCTGAGAGGCAGAGTCGGAGGAAGTGGCTGGGCAGACAGACATGAGGCCTGGGGAGGCCGGGGAAGAAGCGGGCAGATGGAGGCTGCGGGCCTGGACCACATGCTGACATCTCAGCCGTGCACTGTCCATCTGTCCATCTCCCCCAGGCCCGGAGGCCACGAGCCCCCCAGGGGCAGGCCTACACCTGCTGCGGCCCCTGCTGAGCAGCAGTGGAGACCCATGAGCCGGGCAGAGAGCAGGCATCACGGTGTTTGATGAGTGAAAACAGGAAAGCAGGAGGAACTGAGAGAGGCCTGTGGCTCCCCAACCAGCTCCACCTTCTGCCCAGACTGGCCCACCTCCCCCAGGCATGAGAGGTGAGCATGTGACCAGGCTGAGCCGGTCAGAGCTGCCTGTCCTGGCAACAGCGGCCATGTGGCTAGGCTGGGCCAATGGACACCCTCCAGGGCCCCTGGTGCAATTACTGGAAAGAGAAGCTCTGACTGAACTGTTGCTGCTAAGGTGACAGCGGCAGCCCAGAGCCGCCAAGGACCACCTTGGACACCACGGGAGGCATGCACCTGCCCACCACCACTGCTCTCCTCCAAGAACAGAACCAACACACGGATGGAGAGAAAGCAGGTCCTGAAATGTCATATGGGCTCCTGGATGCAGCTATGCCTGAAGCCAGCACACCTCCCTGAACACTCTATTTATGTTTGCCAAAAGAAGTTCCTGTCTACACCTATCCGAGTTGGTGTACTTGGTTTACAATGAAGACAGTCCTGACTTGGGTACATCTTCAAAGAGAGGAGAAGTGAAACACACAGACCCGAGATCAAGTTCAGTAAAGTGACAGTCTCCCCGTCTACCTCCACTGGTGCCACGATGGGGCCAGGCCAGCCAGCAGGGACGAGTCTGTTGATTCTCACACGTCCCCCCAGTCGATGGGCAGTGCTGGCTGGGACGTTGCTGGTGGACTCTGGAGCCCAGGGAGCCGAGGGACCGTGTGCAGCACCCCATCGTGACGGCTGCCACGGCTGCTCAGAGAGCCGCGAGCGCCTGGCACTGTCCCTCAGCCCGCGGAGAAGCAGGGCCGGGCCCGAGCTGGAAAGCTGCTGCAGCTAACCACAACAGCCCCTCGAAAGCCCGCCAGTCCAGCACCCCGTGTCCTTCCACGGAGCCTGACCAGGTGCCCCGGGCCCGGGGCCCTGCGGATCTGGAAGTGCTGCTTGGGACTCTGTTCCGCTCTCCCAGGGCCCCTCGTGGGCTCCAGGTGACACACAGTTCCGTGCCCAGGTGTGGTGGTGGGTCTGGGGTGTAAAGGCCACGTAGACAACCTCCAGCTGGGGACAGCCAGGGGAGGGGAGCTGTCCCCCAGGGAGGCCACCAGGATGGCAGCTGTGAGCTGTCCCCCAGGGAGGGCACCAGGATGGCAGCTGTGAGCTGTCCCCCAGGGAGGGCACCGGGATGGCAGCTGTGAGCTGTCCCCCAGGGAGGGCACCGGGATGGCAGCTGTGGCTGCTGCTGCCCACAGTGTTCAGGGGGTGACCATCTGCTCCAAGCCACTCAAGTCTGAGGCTCGAGGAGGGAGGAGCAGGCTGTGGACCCCCCCAGAGGAGGGGCCAGGGTCCTGGGGGCAGGGTCACGGGGGTGGGGGTCACTCTGCAGGTCTCCTTGGCCTGCCATGCCCTATCAGGGGGAGGCCGCTTCCTCCTGAGCCAGAGACGCCCAGTGGAGTCCTGCCATGGGGACAAGACCCGGGCTCCCTGCCTTGGCCACAAAGCCCTGGGGGACCTGACCCCAGGACGCCCCACTCCAGCCACCAGGCTCCCAGCTGCAGGGCCTCCCTCCCCGCCCCCACTCAGGCGTCTGCCTTCCCTCGCTCCTCTCAATCTGGAACACCACCCCTCAGGAAGGCCCTCCCTGCCAGCCAGAACGCAGGACGCACAGCCGCACCTGACCTCAGGGGCTCACAGGTAAGTGCTGACTGAAGTGCACCACGCACAGACCAGCCGACGCGCAAGGCATGTTCTGTGGTGCCCTGAACGTCCCCATGGCCCGGGGAACTGCGTTTGTGTTTGCAAAGTCTAGCGACCCCGACCCCAGCCTCCTGATTCAAGGGGGGTCAGCCTCTCCTGGCCACATCTGCATGGCCATCTGAATGGCCTGTTAATGCGCCCTCAGCTCTCGGCCCCTGAGCCTCCTGGCAGCCAAGAACAAGTCCGTCTCATCCAGGCCAGACACCCAGAGTGGGCACAGTGCCCGGTGGCCGGCAGGTGCCTGCTGTGCGTCTCAGGAGACGTGGAAAACCGACTGCAGAAGCCCTAACCCAGCCCTAACCCAGCCCTGAGGCTCCGCGGCTCTGAAAGCTGGCCTGTGCCCGCTCTCCCTGGGCCTCGGTTTCCTCACCTAGAAACAGGTCGTTACCGCACCTGCCCTTCAGGGCTGTTGGGAAGTTTTAATGAGCTAATGTGCCAACTACTCAGCACAGCACCCAGCACAAAGAAAGGGCCGCTCAGTGCTCATCCGTGATGGACTCAGGAGTTAGTGGCCAGGCTGGCGGGTAAGGAGGTGAGGGCATCTCCCCACCCCCTGGCCAGGGCTGGCACCGGGTGGGTCTGGGAGCCGGGCCCCTCCTCTCTGGACAGCCCGTCTGGAGTTCTGTTCCACCCGAGCCGTGCCCTCCCCACCCCGAGGCTGGCCTTGCAGAGGGGGCCGGGGGCCTGGGGCACGGCCCCCCTGCGGAGGCTGCTGTGCTGTGCCAGGAGCCCCCACCCTTGAGGGCAGAGGCACGTCCCCCCCAGAGGGGGGTGGTGGCAGCCGAGTCCCCTCCAGGCCACAGACAGCCCTGGGCATGAGGCTGACGCCTGTCCCTCGCCCGGTCACGTGGGGAGGCCGGCAACCTTGATGCACCTGGGCACAACCTGAGGCCTCGTCCCAGGGCCTCTGGATCTGCGGAGGCCGTGGGAGCTGGAGCAGCCTCGCCCTGGGCCACTGCCCGGGCCACCTACACGTGACTCTCCAGCTTCCAGAACAGTCCACAGGCCACTTTCAAAACCCCAGCCGCCCTGGCACGGGAAGAGGGGGCGAGGGCTCCTCGTTTTAAATTGAAAATATGATTTAGAACTGAAAACACCGACTCAGGCCGAGAAGGCCGGCTCCCTCCCAGGATCCAATTAGTCAAGGAGGCCCTGGGTGGGCCCGGGCAGGTTCCCACCGTCCCTGGGGCTCCACCTGAGGACGCAGGGCGCAGGCCTGCGGCTGAGGGTGTGGGCAGGCCCCGCAGATGTGGTGCTGGGCTCCGATCCCGCAGGTGTCGCAGCAAGAGCCACCCACTTCCCGTTCCCAGGGACGGTGCTCACCTCCCCTTTAAGTCTTTACCTGCCTCATCCTCAAAGAACAACCCGGGGCTCGGGGAAGGGCAAACACGGCCACGTCACTGGGACCGGTGGCCTGGGGCTCTGGCCCAGCCACTCGACACTTGCAGGTCTGACCTGGCTCCTGCTTCCTTAAGGGCAGTGGGAAGGGCTGACAGAGAAGGGGCCCGAGGGCTCTCACACCCTGAGACCCCGTGGGAAGGGGCTGGAATGTTCCAGAACAGCGAGGAGCCAGTGTGGCCGGTCAGGGAGGGCCCTGCGCGGTGTGGGGACTCCATCTAGGAGAGGGGCAAGGAGGCCGGGGGCGCCAAGGGACCCCGTCTTGGCCCTGAGCGTCCGTCCCAGCCTGGGGCGTCCGTCCTGGCTCAGGGTGTCTGTCCCAGCCCCGGGCACCCGTCCTCCTGTCTGGGGCTCACAGCAGCTTTGTCAGGCGGAAGGACGGGCCTCTGAGGCTGGGGACTCCTGTGAAATCCCCGAGCGCCTGGGTGTGGCCCAGCAGCCCGCGGCCTGGGGACTCTGCAGCTGCGCCCCAGAGAAGCTCAGGAGAGACTCCAGGGAACAGAGACCCCGCGATCACAGCGACAGGACACAGTGACACCCCGAGCCTGACATGGGTGAGGACACACTGCCTTGGCCACCTCTCTCAACCACCTGCACGGCAGTGTTACCGCCCCGGGGGACAGAGGGGGACACAGGCAGTGAGAGGCGAAGTCTCGAGGGCCACAGAGCAGGGAGGCAGCAGGGCCAGGCTGCGGCCAGGCAGCCGACTCAGCTGGACCCCACAGCCCCGCGCACTGCGTCCTGGGTGCCAGGAGGGCGCCACACACCACCACGGCTGGCGAGCAGGCCCTCGGCCAGCACCGGTCTCACAGGACTCCACGGGGGTCTGGGCAGGGCGGGCAGGGTGCCACGCGCACTCCCTCCTCCCTTCCCAGGAATCCCAGGGAGTGACGGGGGAGGGCAGCTGAGCGCCCCAGCAGGGACCTGAGGGTCCCTGTGAGCCCTCAGTGTGGGCAGGAGACCGGGCAGGAGACGAGCCCCACACGCACCTGCGGACCCGCCCCCATTCCTGCTAACGTCAGCTACTCCATTCTCAGCCGGGCCATCATGTCACAGCCAAGCCCAATGCCACCTCCTCCAATGCCCTCCCACAGCTACCACTCACGGGACACGGGCTCAGGGCTGGCCAGCTCCCAGGGCTTCACCTCAAGTGACTCCTCCCTGTGCCCCCAGCCTGGGCAGCAGGACCCTCGCTCCCTGTGCTGGACAGCGGAAGGCGGAGGCCTCAGGGTGCGCTGACACCACAGTCCCTGGCTGGTCAGCACTGAACAGGGACGTGAGCCTCGGCTGCTGGCCCCAGAGGGACGAGCCCTCTTGCTTTCCCCAGAAGGTGCCGCAGCCCTGCACGCCACGTACCACAGCACACAGAACGGCGTATGGAGAGCTGAGCCTGTGGCTGCCCAGCCCCACAGTGCCCAGGAGGACAGCCCAGCCTCTCTGACCTGTGGCCCAAGCAGCACTGGGCATCTGGTGCCCTCCTGGCCAGTGGGTGGCCAAGCCTGGTTCAAACCCGGTGTGTCTGGGCCAGTTGTGCTCTCGGCCGCTGGCTGCCGCTGTTGGTCCCTCTGTGGCAGAGGGGCTCTCAGCCGGCTGGTCATGGGACCCCAGGGCACAGCCACTCAGCAAGAGGCCACAGCCCTCAGGAAGTAGAGAGGGGCCACCCGCTGCCCACTGTGCCTGGGAGGAGCAGCCCACCACGGCCCACCTCCCAGACGGGCCTGCAGGGGCGCTGGGCAGGGTCCGCGCTGGGCAGGTACTCACGAATCTGAGGAACACGTTGCCGAGCTCGTGCTGAGACTGCGGCTCCGGGTGCAGGCAGCACTCCAGGGCGGCCAGGAAGTCCTTGTGCACCTCCAGGATGTCCTCGATGTTGGAGAAGAGGATCTGCGAGCAAGCAGAGGCCCCCGCATCAGCAGGGCCCAGGGCAAGCCACGCGCCTGAGGAGACGGCGCTCCGGGCACCGGAGCCTGCAGGGAGACGGGAGCTCCCCCGCGGGCCCGGCCGTCCCGAGAAGGTGGGCGCGAGCAGGCAGCCTGTGTGGATGGGCAGAGACCGGCCCAGAGCCAAGGTCGTCATGGTCATCATGGTCATGTCACGGTCACGTCATGTCAGCCAGCTCACCCCCAGCCTGCAGGTGAGGGACCAGCACCCCAACGCCATGTGCCAGCAAGCCCCAGGGACAAGGGTACCACCCTGGCACGTCACACCCACATGCCAGTGCACGCCAGCCCCAGGACTCAGCTGCACGTGTCCACACCAACACGGGGAGGAAACGCGGTCTGGGGATCTGGAACCTGCCGTGCAGACACCCCACGTGGGGCCGCCTGCTCCCTCACCTCCACCCAGAGGTTCAAATGCAACCTGACCCAGTAATTCCACACTGTAGAATGTAGCCTTTCAGTCATTTCCAGCTAGAGGGACTTTTGCCCCCACGAGACAGACATCTGGCACATCTGGGGACATTTCAGGCTGTCACAAACTGTGGGACAGAGAGGAGAGTGCTACTGGTGTTTGCAGTCACAGACCAGGCATGCCACTGTGGGGCACAGAACAGAGATGTTCAGGCGCCAGTGTCCACAGTGCCCAGATGGGAGTCTGGGGGTTCAGCCAAGTGACGGTGCTGCAGCCTCACTGGCATTAACAAAAAATTGGGAACAGATATCCACCTGCAGGAACCAGTTAATCACATTATAGTAAGATACATTCCACAGGCAGGAATACTATGCACCTGGAAAAAGAACCTGTGGATACATACACACACAGAATCCCATCGTATCCTCATATAGATTTTAAGTGTGTGGCAGGGAGGGGAATCCAGGTGCCGAACAGGTTCCATTAGGGGCCTGTTTGTGTAAAACAGAACCAAAAATGGCCCCTCCTATCTATGCTGGCGGGAACAGAGACTTTTTAGATGGTGATATAAACTGGCAACTGTAGAGGTCTCCGGAAAGGACCAGGAAAGATCTTTCTGATCTAAACTCCACAAGTTCCATTTTCCTTCTGTTTATTGCACAAGTGTCTGTGTCAGTTTAAGTGCTGAGCAAGCAAGGTGCTCCCTCGGCTCAAACGCCAGCGCGGAAATGAGCACACGCACAGTCTTGCTCCCTCGGCATTTTCTGAGCACCTACTGTGTGCCGGGCTCAGAGGCCCAGAGGATACGGCAGGGAGCAGACGAGTCCCACCCCCATGGTGGGGGTGCCCGGGGCGCCCGTCACGGGAAGTGGCTGTGGCAGCCCCAGCCTGCAGTGCCGGGTCCCTCCAGCGTGTCCGCTCACGGGCTGACCCCACTCCTAAGGCCCTCGGTGACTGTAAGGAAGGGCAGGAGCGTGAACCCAAAGGAAATGAGAAACGTCCACCCGAAAGCCGCCTGCACAGTCACGACAGCCAGCAACTGCAAACACCCAACCTGGAGGAGGGCTGTGTGAAGTATTACAGAGCCATGAAAAACCACGGGCCCCACACAGAACAAGGGCAGCTCCCAGAAGAAGTGAAGGCAAGACCTGGACCCGAAAGGACAGGTGACGCCGACCGATGGCGTCAGGAGCCAGTGTGCACTCTGAGAGGGAGGACTGTGTAGAGGGACAAGGACGCTCCTGCCTTCGTCTGGGCCGGTGGCACACACCCCTGGGCACCCGGCATCTGGGCTTCACTGCAGGGCGGTTCACCCTCACGGAGAGCAAGGGTCTTAACGCTCGACCTGCCATGATCTCTGAGACGGGACTTGAAGTCACCACAGCGTGCCACAGACAGACCCAACCCCCGCAGTGCTCAGCAACGTGTGCCGAGGGAGCAGGCGAAGGAGGGGACCTGGAGAGGGACCCCAACACTCCCCCCAGCCGTCCCCGGGCCACCGTAAGCCCCAGCTTTCCTAGGCACAATGTGATCTCAGAGCCATCGAGGTCCCCGTCCTGTCGAGCAGGGACACCTGGAGGGGGCGGGCATCTTCCTTGGCCACGTGGCTGGGACCTCAGATGCCCACGGTCCCCTCAGACCAGGGCCTTCACAGTCCCAGGGACTGGGCAGCGGCTTCCCAGAGAGCAAGGTCACATCAGAGCCAGGCCCAGCAGGAGGCCCGCCTGGGAGGCCCGGTGCGCACACAGAAGGCCATTGATCTCCTCCTCAGCCTCCTGAGCCTCTGCCAAGACAGAGCTGCCTGACCACTCCCCGGCCCCTGACCCCGCTGCCCAGCCCGGGCAGGAGGCAGCTGCAGGAGCCGGGCTCCCAGGGCCCTTGGGAAAGGACTTTCCGCTGGTCGGAGCCGGCGCCAGACCCTGGCAGCTGGGAGACGGGGGCCGCGGGGCCAGGGAGGGTCCCGCACTGGAGCAGAACCGAGCCAGCCGCTCACGGGCCCGGGAGTCCTCCAGGGACATGAGAGAAGGCTGGGGAGCACCAAGCCAGGGCCAGCAGGTGACCTGCCCTCCCAGCATGGCCCAGCAGCAGGGCCCTCCACGGGGCGGGGGGGGGGGGGGCAGCTCTGCGTCCCACCTTGACGTTCTCGTCCGTGAGCCCCTTCTCCACGGAGTCCGCCGCGTTCTGCCGGATGCGGTGCAGGAAGGCCTGTGGAGAGAGCGACAGTCAGCGCCCGGGAGGGACGGGCTGACCCCCAGGGCCCGCGAGGCAATGGTCCAGGGACAGGGACGCCCCTCACCCTGCGCCAGCTGCACCTCCTTGGGGGCCTGAAGAGACCCAAGAGAATGACACGGGCCAGCTCCCCCCTCACTGCCACCCACAGTCCCCGGCGGGTGACAATTCACCTCTCCTAACGTCTCATCCTTTTTTTCCTAAGCAACTTAACCCTCAAACTTTAACACATTCGCACGGCTCAGAAGTCAGGAGTACAAGCCCGAAAACAGGAAAAGGCTCTTTCCCAGCCGGCCCACCCCATGTCCCCACTGCCACCCAAGCGTCCTCCGCCACCGCCCCCGCATCCCCACCGCCACCACCGCCACCTGCCTGCTGCCCCCACGTCCCACTCCCACGTCCTGCCCCTGCCACCCCCATTAATCTCAGCCAGGGGCTTCTCAGGGCCTCCAGAGTCTGCGAGCCCCACGTGCACAGGTGCATATAGGGTGGGCCGGGTGCACACGGGGCGGGCAGGTGCGTGCATGATGGGCCAGGTGCACGGGGTGTGCACACAGCAACCCTCGCATCTGCTCCTTCTACCCCCAGGAGAGAGCAGCAGTGTGCACAGGATGGCGACGGGCAGGCACACCCACCCCTTGCCTGGAGCACCCACCCCTCGCTGGAGCACCCTCCATCCTCAGACAGGGCCCCTCGTCCTCCCGTGTGGGTGGACCACGGTCCTTCTGCAGCACTGTTCCGGGGCTCAGCACAGAGAAATCGCCTCCTCCTCCGTGAGGCGCAATGTCTGATGATTAAAAGAAGGGACGGGGGACAAGCAGGCACAAGCCCACCTGAAGGAGCTGCCCCCTGTCCACTCCTAGAGGGAGCAGTCGGGAGGCAGAGGCTCAGGGCCCCCGGGTGTTCTGGTTGCTCTATTCTGTTTTGCTTTTCCTGGGGAGTGAGCCCAGGAGGGCCCCTCCCCGAGCCCTTTCTTGTTTTCGCTTTGAGACAGGGTCTCACGGAGTTGCTTAGGGTCTCACTGCGTTGCTGAGGCTGGCCTCAAACCTGCGATCCTCCTGCCTGGGGCTCCTGAGTCTCTGGGACCCCAGGTGTGCGCCAGGGCACCCGGCTGCCATCTGGATACCTTATAGCTGAGCCTCCCAGCTCGGGGTGTGGGGGAGAGGGGTGCCGTGTGCCATTTAGAGGTGAACGTGGCCTGGCCCTGGGGGTGTGTGGGACAGAGCCAGCGGGAGGGGCTGAAGGTGGGGAGGGAGGGGTCGAGGTGGCCCCTAAGGAGAACAGGGCTGTCACCAGCGACCTGCGCCTGCTCGCCCCGGCTCAGCACTGGGCCTGGGCCGGGTTAACCAGACAACAGTCCCACGGAGACCCGGGAGAGGGAGTCCAAGGACTTGTGCCACCCCAGGCCACCGTGAGCTGAGCGGGCCTGGCAGCTGGTCACAGCCCATGGGGCCCAGAGGGAACCACCCCAGCGAACAGGGGCCTCCTGTCACTGAGCCCAGCTGCAGGTTCACCGCGAGCGGGCCCATCCCACCACGCCGTCGACAGGGACCCTACGCGTGCTGGGAAAGATGGCGGGGACAGGCCACCACAGAGCTGGGGTCAGGGAGGCAGCTGCAGGAGGCAGAAGGGAGGCTGGCCTCCACATTCAGCTGTCGGATCCTTTCCCATCACGCAGGTGACGACCACGGGGCCGCCGCAAGCCCAGCCACCACCCAGACTCAGGCTTGAGAGGACGAGCGGCTGGGGTCCCACTCGCGGCCTCTGCGTCCCCGTCCAGGCGCAGTGCAGAGGGCTGAGGTCCACCTTTGGCTGACACCCTGGGGTGTATGTCCCCCGCCTGGGCCCCCTCCAGTGGCTCTCCTCGGGTAACCTGGGCACACGAGGAGCACCTCCCACCCACCCTGCCTCCTTCCTCTCCCAGCGCCCCACCCAGTCACTGCCCCTCTGCCTCCGGGGCTCCAGCCACACCCCGCTGTCCTCACCCCCTCTCTTTCAGGTCCATTTCCCATCCATGTGCAAACACCACCGGCCTCCCCTGGGAAAGCCCACCGCCTCTCCCACCTCACAGCCGGCCCCCAGCCCAGGCCACCGCATCCCCACCTGGACTAACGCAATCACCTCTGCCCTGGTCCCCCTCACCTTCCCGAGAGTCTAGTCCACACACAGAGACAGAGAGGTCCTTCTAAACGCATAAACCAGATCTTGTCACCCACAGCTCAAAACTTCCATGACTTCCACAGGAGGACATCCAAACCCTCCAGGGCCAGAAGGCCCCCAAGGCCTCTGACCCCGCCTTCCAGCACTCCATCCTCCCACACTTCAGGAATCTTCAGCCAAACCTATTATTCCTGCCTCAGGACCTTTGCACATGTCTTACCTGCTAGCAGGCTGCTCTTAGCAATCCACCCTGAGCAGGCTCCTTCTTACCCATCAGGCCCTGCTCAAATGTCTCCTCCTCAAAGGGGCCCTCCTGCCTTCATGCTCTCATCACCTTCCCATTTGACAGCTGAGAAAACTGAGGGGAAGTGTCTACACTTGCTCCTCAGGGACAGGCCAAGCTTAAGAAGGGAGCATGGCTCCAACGGAAGAGGTCAGGTTTGGAAACCCGCGGGTCTCCCTCCTTCCTGTGTGTGACCTCAGGAAAGTGTACGGCTTCTCTGAATCTTAGATTCCGCTTCCCAAGTGTGAGAGCCTGGTGACACCGCGGGGACTTTCACAGGTAACAGGACAGAGTGGGTGGGAGTGGGCGGGAGCTCCGGGGAGCAGGGGCCAGGGGCCAGGAGAGGGCCGGGCACCAGCAGGCTGGGGGACCACAGGAAGTGGGAAGTGCCTGGCGGGACAGGCCCCGACACCTGCTGGCTGGCCTTTGAAAGGACAGCAAGGGAGGGGACGGACAGAACTCCTAGAGGATGTCTGGACAGGGCTGGGCGCCCACAGGAAGCCAGTCCCCAGGCCCAGGGACAAAGCACCTGCCCAGTGCGCAGACGCAGCTGTCCTGCAGGACCAGGGAGTGGCTGGCCTAGATGGGCTTCCTGTCCCCATTTCTTCACAGGAGCTCAGCCACCGCATGGTGCTGGGACAATGGGAGCTCGGGCCACCCACTGAGAAGCTTCAAAGAAGCCGCTGGTGGCACAAGGAGCAGCTCTGACCTGAAAGAATGGCAGGCCCCGCTGGCTCTGCCCAGCCCGCGGCCAAGGCACAGGGACCTTCCAGGCGGCAGGAACGTCCTCTGAACGCTGGCGGGAGATGAAGTGGGGCCCTCTCCCAGGGGTCTCCAGGGAGGCTCTGCCTGGACCACTGCCCCTCTTCCCAGTGTCCTCTCCCGACGTCGGCGACGAGAGACAGAAGGGACGGAAACCCCGCGCCCACCGCCCGTCACTGCCCGGCGCTGGCAACCCCTAACTGGGCCGGGTTTGCCCAGGGCCACTGACACAGGGGAAGGGGCGGCCCTCGGGTGCAGGAGCCTCCCGCCTCGTCCGCACGGGGACGGTGTACGCCAAGCCCGGCAGCGAGCACCCTGGACAGGCCCACCTGGCCCAGCTGCCCTGCGATATCAGGCCCCCAGGAGAGGGGACAGCAGGCCCTGGGCAGAGGGGACGCTGCCCCCGGCAGGTGCTCCAGCTCCCCGCCCGGCCTGGGCACCGCACTCCAGGGCCTCTGAAGACAGCGCGGGCATCTTCTGCAGCTGCACCCTGCGTACAGGCGGCGCCCGCCCCTGCCACCCCCAGGCGTCCCCCATGCACAGGGCGGTGAGGTGCTCGAGGAGGGCGAGAGCCACAGAGGGACCCCACCAGGCACAGCCCAGCGCCTCCTGCAGTTCCTGGGCCCCACTGTGTGCCGGGCCCCACTCGTGGCCCAGAGGGTCCAGATGTCACACTGAAGCTGGGGCGAGGTCCCCGCCCTCCGGGAGCTTCCAGGATCCACTCCCCTGGGAGGGTGGCAGGTCTCCCGCCTTCCCCACCTTTGGGAAGAACCCAGGCTGCTGTTTGTCCAGGTGTCCGGCAGGGTGGCGCTCCGGTGGCCCCAGAAACTGCTGGGCGGCACCTTCCAGCTGGCTGCTCCCTCCCGGCAAACCACTGTCCCCACGTCAGCCCAGGAAGTGGTCCCTGGGGAAGCCACACACAACCAACCTGGGGCTCACCGCGTGGTACTTAAAACGGTGATGCCACCACTCTCACACGCTTAGGCTGTTTCTTATGTCCTCGCTGTCACAGGGCTTGATGGACCTGGTGCAGGGCAGCGCTTCCGGGCTCCCCTTGGGGACGCGGGGCCTTGCTGGGTCAGGGTGCCAGCTTCTCGAGGTGTGACGCGCTGGCTAATGATCAGGGACACCATCATCTTGACTAGTTAGTGCCAATGGCCCGCATCCAGCCGGCAGTGGGAGGGCTCCAGCAGCACCCCTTGGAGAGGGCCACAGCGTCAGCCGTTCACGCAGCACGCGTCCAACAGGACCTGCCAGGGCCACCGTAAGCTCACTTCACCCCCAACGGGTTGGTCTCGTCCGCGTCCCAGGGCGTGAGCCACCTGGGAGGGCTCCAGCCAGAAGCCAGCAGGGCAGCACCTGGACCCAGGACTGTCCGACTCCTGCTGCCGAGGGAGGAGGGGCCCGAGAGCTGCTCAGTGGACGCTGACCCCGGGTCTCCGTGGTCCCCAGAGCCTGGGACGGAGCGGGAAGACCTGGCAGGATTGACTGGTGGTGCCTGCCAGGCTGGGGGCACCGGAGCCCCAGCCCCAGCGGCTGCCTCACCTGAGGCCCAAGGTGAGCTGGCGACCCACAGGATCACACAGGACCCCAGCCAGATGCCTTGCCGGCCCCACCCGGGGCAAGGACTCAGCCTGGGGTGGCTCTGCCGGTCCCCAGCGTCACACTGGGGAGGACATGCTCCGAGCATCTGGTGGGCTGAGGCCAGGGCTGCCGCTCAGAAGCATCCCCAGAGCAAGGATGGCCCTGGGGGACACCAGCCCAGACCCAG